GAATTGTTGACATTCGGCAAGATAAGCGAAATTACATGTTTTTATGTTTTCTAATGGTTACGACTGTATGCATTTGTTATTAAGATTGGAGTTATTGTAAGGACATTTAGTCTTATTTTTGAGTACAATCCGGAAAAAATATATAAATCATTTGTATTTGGTTAAGTGTATTTTGGATAATTTTGATATAAAACAGTTAACCAAGTTATTGGTACTAAGATATACTGGTAAGTACCAGTGTGCTTATATGCACTGAGGTTAATAGACTTGGTTATTTCTCAATTTGCGTATTAAAAAGCTAATTGATGTGCTTTCCGGAATAATAATACAACGCTATTAGCTGTAGATTTTAACTAATCAATTATTATAATAATATCAATATCAAATTTTATAGAACCATTTATTGCAGTGTATCACCTAAGTGATAAAAGACTTTATTGAGTAGAAATACTTTAGATGCTAACTTACGTTTTATCAAACACAAGCCAAAAGTTCAAGCTAACTCACAGATTATCTAAATCAGGGTTGTCCAGACCAATTAAAATCGCGGACTAATAAAAATCACTGAATAGGTTAGGGAGCCGCAGAAATAAATAAATGTGTTCATAATTTTTTAAGATTAAAATAAAAATACGGTGATGATGATAAATTTAATTTTATGAATTCTTCAATTATTCAGCTTTTACAATTATATCACCATTAGCATTATAAATATTAGTTGTTGCCATACAAAAAATATTTTATTTTATATGTTGTACAAACAAGAATATATATTAAAGTCTTTGTCAAGTAAGTAAATTAACGTGAAATGTAATAAATTGCTTAAAACATTTTAATTCATTTATTTATATACAATTAAAATAATATGATTTTATTGAAATATATTAAAAACGGAAATTTGCCTAAATGTAGTAGATTAGTAACCCAATATGGGCCGTATGAGGCCCGTTGGACGTGCTTTGGACAATCCTGATCTAAACTATGATCTATCTTATAAGAAGATATAATTCGTATTCATTTAACTTCCATAGAACTTTTTAAGAAACTGCGAAGTAGAATTAAAGACTCTAAAAGCATCCCACGGTACTAATGTTGGACCTAACAGACTATTATTTTAACTCGGTTTAAGAGTTAGTTGACAACATCTCTTTGCTGATAATAAATATTTAATAAATATATACTTCTTCCAGTGAAAACTCTCCTAAATCACTTTTTAGCATCCAAATTTTTTGCCATTTTCCATATACTCATATATAATTTAGAATATTTTCAATGAATACATTATATTATGTAAACCAATTTATTTATTTATCTGAATTCATCTTTTAATCTAGATTACAAAAAAGTGAAATTTTATAAAAACTGTAATTTTAAAAAATCTTTGTATCTACTTATTAACACGCACACAATAAGGATTATGATCTTGAGCAGTTAGTACTCAATTATCAAAAAATGTCGATAAAACTCATATTTTCGAAAAGTGGCCATGGTGTGGATGAGTAGATTAATTATGGCGTTTTCGATTGTGTAATCTGGATTCAATCTAGATTTACTCTCGATCTCTCAAATTTTGTTGCCCAATCGAACATTTTTAAAGTAATCTAATACTTTTGTAGTAGTCTTACTAAATCGTAAATACATATATTAAATAAGATCACACTTCTTCAGTCAAGTGTCAAATGTCTTTAGAGCCTTTTGTCAAATGCTATACTTCTTGAGTGTTGTACATTTTGTTCAAGATTCTCCAATCGAAAATGAAAACTGCACTAAAAATGAACCTGAATTGAAAAAGTTACCCAAGATTTACTAATCAAAAATAGTATTAGTTTATTTTAAGATCTGCATGAATTTTATAAAATTTGCTTTTTTATGTTTTTTAGAAACAGAAGCATTAAGGCATTAACAAAATTATAATCAGTTATCTGTAAAAAAGTATTGATGACTATTATAGAACATAATCTCCAATAATGTGAGATTTTGAAAACAGTAGATACATTTTTTGAAACGGTCATAAGAATTAGATCTTCTCATACTAACTACTTCGAGATGTGCTTCACTAATATCTTTTCTAAGACATTCCTTACGAAAGTCTTATCTTTTCTTACTTTTGGAAACAATCAAAAATCAAACGGTGCTAGTTAAGGGGAATATGGACACTTTTTTTTTTAATTTTTCCACTTTTGGTACTTAATTTAAAGTGTTTCAGTTTTCAAATTTTTGAAGAAAATTTTTACTAAGATGTACAAGTGATTTTTGATCTTTAGTAAAGACTCCAGCCACATTTCTTTGTGTATCTAATTACTATATATTCGCAATACAACTATGACAATCAAACTCAGTTTATTTGTAACAATCTTCTGGATAACTCTTGGATATTTATCAACTTTCGCCATTACTGAACCGACGCTTGTCCAAAATTTTGGCTGAGCTTCGCAAGATTCGTTTAAATGGTCCGATGTGCAATCTGCGTAACTACTTTAAGATGGTTACTTGGAAAAGTGCAATTTCTCTTTATGGTATCTGGTACAAAATACTTCCACTAACTTAAGATCACGCAAAAATCCGTAAAGATTAGCAAATCGAATATCTTGCTGTTATATCGAAGAATCTGGCATTAATACTCTACCCAAATAGCTAGCATTCTCTAATTTCTCTAACTTCTGTTAGTCCTGCTATAGTATAACATAATAAAACCTTCAGGTACGTGTACAGTATAATTTTGACTAGCAAAAGTTCGAGTGTGCATTCTCCGAAATTTCTTCAAGATGGTAACTCATAATAGTGGAGTTTATGGTATCTGGTACAGACTAAATACTTTTACCAACTTAAGGATACGCCAAAAGCCGTAAAGAAAAGCAAATAGAATCTCTTGTTGGTATATCGGTGACTTCGGCAATAATACTATACCTAATCAGATAGCATTTTTTGATTTGTCTAGAATTTTTTCCACGTTGCCAATATTGCGAACATTTCAATCCCTACATAGTTTAATAAATGTTATGGCACTTTTACAGAATAATTTGGACTCTCGTTCATCAAACTTTGCCAATTATAAAAGCAAAGAAATATAAATAAAAAAAATTAACATATTTTACACTTAAATGCACTTCTTCATATATCGCCAAAGAATTTAAAACTGCTGCTGAATACATCATTTATTATTCGGTTTCATTCAAACAGAAGACCTAATCTAACTTCCGAATTTTTATTGCTCAAGGCATTAATATTTTCTGCAGTAAATTGTTTTCTATAATAAAATTTTTAATATTTTCTTTTTTACATTTAAAAATTTATTGTTTCTTTTTCCTTTATGATTTTTATTGTTTTATAAATAACATTTTAACTTAAGCAAACTGTATGATCCGCCAGTAAGGATATCTGTACTCTACGCCTGCACATGTAAGTTCACTATGCCCCATGTCAATGTTGTAAACTTTTATCCTTCAGCAGATTTGAATGCGTCGAAGCCATTCTACATAAATATCCTGCAGTATTTTGCATATATTTTTATGTTTACTTAATATGCATCCTTCAGTATCCTTCAGCATTCGGTTACATTTTTTATATTCTTGCATGTGTTTTTTCACAGTCATTTCAAGAAATTTTTATAATTCAACTCTAAATATAATTGTCAATAAAAATTTACCGTGTGGAAAATTTGTTTCACAAACAAACGAATTGCCAAAAGCTAAAGAAAAAAATTATTTGCAGTTGCAGGAGAGCAAATATAGCGACATATCCATAAATGAGATGTGTGCATATACACGAGAATTGCTAATATTGCGGTTTCATTTGCATTCCAATTTATTGCAAATTAAAATCTTAAACCTTAAACTCAAGACTTTATACTCAAGATGCTTTACTCGATTTAGTTTAAATGAACGAACCCCAATGTCTATGTAAGATAATTATCTATTCACACATAGTAAGTTACATACATACATGATTTAAGTACATTAAACATCTTTCCATTAAATAAAATTTCTAAAAATTACAAAGAATTATTTCATTAATAAAGTGCTGTTTCATAGCAACAAATTTTTACATATAGGTACTGTAATATATATGACTTACATTACTTTGGTTAGGAAATTGCAATAATTAACTGTTTAATAGTCTTTTGACAATGTATATGTCATGATTAAAACGTATGATAAAATCCATCGAATTTCGGAAATACACTTATATATAAAAAAGTGGACCACTTATATATAAAAATGTGAACCACTTATATTACTTAATCATTAATAGAAATTTAAACAAAATAAACACGTGGTATAGAAAAGCAGAGCAATACGACCATGTTGATATATTATGCTTCTAATCAACAATAACTGAACAGAAGACATTTCAGGAGCCGCAACATATAACAGATACTTTTCTGTGTTACAAGTCGTTGGCTACCATGGCTAAATTGTATGACTTACATATTAAATTACTGACACAGCCACTGTGTCCACCAAACTTGATACCCAACGATTACTACCACAGACCTTCAAAAAATGTTTCAGAGGTTATAAATTTCACGCCAATGAAGAGTCCGTTGCCGAAACTAAGACATATTTTAAGGTTGAAGTGGAATCATAATACTAGAGAGGTATCGAAATGTTAGGGAAGCACTGGAAGCACAATTGTATAAGTCTTGAAGAAAAAAAACTACATTGATGAATAAGGTCAAATTTAACCAAAAATGTGTTGTTTTACTATTTATCCTACAGACTTTTAGGCCGATTTGTGGTAGTCATCAAAACCAGACAGACATATATAATAAAAAACATGATCAAATTGATTTATCTGATACTGATAATCGAAAATAACCTATCCAGTAAATGATATAATGCTCATATCCTGTGTTTCATATACTTTAATAAACAATGGGTTGAAAGGTATAACGTAGAAACTAAAATTAACAGAGATTTAAACAATTGAGTATCACAATTTAATTTGCACAAACTTCAGAATATACACAATATTATATACAAAAGATAATCAAATTTAATCACAAAAAATTTTTAGTTCATTAGTTACGAAATCATAAATTAAGCAAAAAAGTTAATCAATACTAGTAATCTCAATACTTTAGAGATATTAATTTAAAGCTACATTATCGGTAACCTTAAGAACTTCCGGTATTTCTAGTAACTTAGTAAGGAATTTGAAGTAGCGCTCATTTTCCCGATCATTCAAGCGAACTTGTGCTTTTGCTGCAAAACTGCAATACAAATGCAAAATTTGGTAACCAATATTCTTCAGACTTTCACAAGTAGAAGATAATTGCACTGTGTTTGACTTAAAACTCACAGCACCCGTTTCGTAGTCCACAACTCGCACAGCATATGCATTACAAGCTAGACCATCATTTATTAACTTCTTTGCCAAATCGTCTGAATTACGCTCAATTTTGTCATACGTAATAGCCTCAATGTTATTTTCGTAGTTGAAGAATGGCAAAACATTATCAAAGGTTGCCTTATGTCGCTTCAGGAGAGGTTGTAAAATGGACGTTAATTTTTGCATCGAACTACAATTTGCAGTGATGATGGCACAAACTTTCAATCCAAGGCGCAGTTGAACAATGTGAGTGCGTGAAGGATTCAGAGATTTATTTAAATTCTCTATTACTTTTGAAATTTTCGTGGCTTTCATACCCTTTCTTATTGCCGCTCGTATGGCTTCTTTAAGCACCGCATTTTCATCTGGATCATCAGAACCTCCCTCGAAAACAGCCAGACGCAATCGATGAGCTAGTCTCCGCACAAAGCTGACTTGTTCCAGATTATATTCTATTGAAGGACCATTTTTATATCTGAAATTATCACTACAAAGGTTACCATATTTCCTTTGATGCAAGTTCATGGTTCCTCCGGTTTCCGTTTAAATTTGGTAACATAAAAAAATTTTGAAACATCTAACAAAAAATGAAAGTTTATAGAATTGTGAGTTTATGGATTTTGTTCTAAACGTAAATTGGAAAAAAATGAATATGAAAAACTGTTTAAAAACATTTCTATCTTTATTTAATAATTTTTCAAAGCTAACTTTGTTATGCATCAAAATTTCAATTTACGAATATATTATTATTAACATAGTTAGTAAATAATATTATATATAAAGGATAGAGCCCTGAAATTATTTGCGAAATCTGACAGACAGACCAACACCGCGTTATCAAATCTCAGAATGGTTACAGGCTTCTCGGGGAGGTATACAGATCTGAGGTCAATTATTGCTTAGTCTAATGAAGTGATAAACAATAATCTAGTCAAGGCGCAAAGAGTGGTTTTGAAGAAATCTCGCAGTTAATAGAGAGTAAAAGTGCTCAGGTGCACTGACTCAACTAGCCTCAACATAATAATATATATAATATAATATATGTAATATATATAATATAATATAAGTATATTATATAGCTCAGGTACATTATATAGACCATATAAAATAAATAAACTAAAATGTCGTTTGGAAGAATGTATAACATTGAGGGCTAAATAAAGGTCATCACAAAATAATAACTAAAAAACATATTTTTATATTGCAAAAATATCTCAAACGTTTCTCGAATTTTGGCCAAGATAACTATAGGATTATATTTAATTGAATGATACGACAGGAAATTTTTTAATAACTGCACTTACTTTCACTATCAATTTTTTCCTACACTAAATCAGAGGAACCATATTAATGTTTTTAAAAAATTTATTCTTAAGCTAAACCCAAATATCTCAAGCTTAACTTTGATAGAAATACTATTAATCCAAAGACTTAGTAATCAAAAAGCAATACTTGTTGATTTGTCATCCATAATTATGGCTAGGAGATTTAAGTATATAGTTTCTTTCTTCCTAAGTAACTATATATCTAAATATTTCCTTTTGTGTACCGCTCTGCTTCGACGCACCGATCTGCTTTGGAATGCCGATCTACACCGGTTAGCTTCCTTTACAACAAAGGACATTTATGTACTATATGTGCCAATGGGTTTGGTCTTATATAGTTAACATCTCGAATAGTATTGACAGATAGTCGTGTATTCAGAAAAATAGATACTGAAATATAATCCCCATATTATCAACAAGCTTGGATACCAAGTGTACACATATAACGTATTTGAATGAACGTACTAAGATTATCAACTTGTAATTCACATTAACAATATATATTACTAGTGCAGCTAGGAAGATCTATAAAGACGGTTTGTGTTTTATATGATGCTGGGTGATTCTGATAATATTTTTAAAAATCGAAATTGTTTTTAAAATTTAATAATTTTTTTTATTTATCGTATTCACATTAATGTGAACATTGACATTTTTTGAAAAACATTGTGTTTCGTGAAGAGCACTAATGAAATATTAAAAATATTACATACTACCTGGCTTGAGAGTAGTCGACTTTTGGTGCTCTTTATGTAAATTGCCAGCTACTTTAAACTTTTTTCTTTTGATAGACAATATATGCTTTGTTTCATCATATGCTTGTAATTACAGCAGAGTTCGTTAGACTTTAAAAAATATCAAGTACATAGTTGTAGTGACTGAAAACCTTGTAAAATGTAGTCTTTCAAAATTTGTAGTATCAGTAATGATGTGACTCGTCAAGTACTTATTATTTCTCTGTTTTGATAGCACAATATAACCTATCATAGCTATCGCATACTTCTCATTCCAAAAAATCTATTACGTCTTATAATAACACTAAATATAATATCTATAAATGATCGTAACTGGAAGCCTCTTAAACTCTGACCTTTAAAACTCCCTTTCTTCATTCAACACAATAAGCGGATACTAAAGTGAAACCAATCCTTAATATCTTAATTTAAATTATTAATCTAATGTAATCAATTATTTAATTTAATTTATGATCGTTTAAGGATTAGCTATGTTAGTTACAATTGTGTACCATGCCAAAGAACAATTTGATAGTTAAATACGGATACGAAATAGTTAATAGGAACCTATCTATAACTCAACTATACGATTACAATTGTTAAAAAATTAATATTATAAGTTACATGTAATTTCTATTATGTATCTATATTAGTATATATATACTAATACCTATATAGACGTATATTCTAACATATGCGTAGATAACTATAATTATTTTAGCACCAGCGTTTAAAGGGTTTTAAATTTTATAGATACAAGTTTTATGTACTATATAATTATGAATAAAATTGAGTGACTAAACTAAACCTTTAAACAGACTTGTAATTATGTTAAGTTTTCATTTTAATATCCTGCCATTTTACATTTCTTTAGAATATCACCTTTCAGTATTATCAAAGTGCAATAAATTATCCTTAATAATCAAGGATAATTGAGTTACAGCAAGTAGTTGGTACCATAACCCATTCGAATGTGTTCTGATGTGATAAAGTGAATTGCAAATTAGTAATTTACATGCTTTTCATATCGAAATTGTCAAAATACAAAAACCAAGCTGAAAATTTACACTTCAAGCCAATTAATAATATTGCATTAGCAGAAGCCACCAAACCAGTCAAAACAATTGCCCAGCCCCTACTACCGCAATCGAACAATCTCGAACGCTGAACTAAGGACAATTACGGACGATAATTAAGTTTATCGATAGAAACTGCATTTATTTACTTATGTTGCACAAAATGAAAGATTATCCTTTTGCACTGGTGTGGGTCGAATGAATACGAAATTGCATTCACTGCAATCTAATGCACCATAATTACACTATGTAAGATATGTCAGGGTACCTACCCAGTGACATGTGCAATTATGTTTGTAGTATGAAAAATCATAATTTAACTTCATAAATTAGAAGGATGATTGTGTATATTATTTATCCGAAGTATTTCGTTACACAAGTGCATATAAATTGATATCGAAAACAGATACATTAATCATCACTTGTCACTGTTCAAATCGATAAAGTGTTTCCAAATGTACAAAAATATTGCACATTTATTATATTAGCAGTTTAAAGTGTGTTATAGTGAACTAAGGGTATAGCATATCCTGTACGTAAAATAAATTTCATAATTTTTTGGTCAAGATGCAGCAATTTGAAAATCTCAACTTGCAACTACCCAGTGCAAACTTCTAACCACTTTTCTTGCTTCACTTAAGTCACCTCAATGAATTGACAAATTGCAAATAAGTTTGTATATTTAAGGATATTAAAAGGATATTACAATATATCACATAAAATCAAATCAGACGTATTTGTCGCATGCAATTATCACCTCACACATGACACAACTTACAGGCACACAGATATTGATACATACTCATATACTCATATAACGACATGGACACAGAACAGACAGCGTATCTGTTTCTTAGCAGAAAATCGTATTTGAATTATGTGCAAGCCATAAATTATGCCTACACTTAGTTGTATCTACTTACAAGGAACCCAGTAAGTGCAGATGAATCAAAGGATAATCCAATTTATTTTACATTACGCTTGGTGTTGTGCATTAGCCTGAAGCAGCAGCGTCCAGCTTGTGGAGTAAGGTGTATTCACACTTACCACAATTGCCAGGAGTATGAAGGTGAAGTTGATGGAGTGGTGCAATCAATAAGTTTTTGTTTTTAATATAATTCACAGCTTTTGAAGGGCAGCAGCTTAAACAATTGCGTCTACGACTTGCAACTTTGTAAGAAATTTGTTGCTGAAGATAAGTGCAACTATATTGCTGCTGCATTGATTTATTAATTTCTGTTTAATTCTCTCAATTTAAAATAATTTCTCCAATTTGATTTAAAGACTTGCTTAAATGTTTGCACTTTTGCAGTAAATCCGGCATTTGCACCCTTTTATGTCATTTCATAAAAACACGCCATTCGCAAAATAAATGCTTTATCGCCAACCGTAAAACCCGGCGAGTGCAAATCTCGAAATGTCATTAAAAATTCCTTTTAACTGTAATTAAAAGCATTAAAATAAACATTTCATTGCATTTCATAAGAGCTCCAGTGCGCTTAGTGCACCAATCACCCGCCCAAAACTGTGCTGACTTCAAGCACGAAATATTGTTTATATATTAAAAGGAGCAGTAAGCGTTCCCCAGTAATGAAAGTTAGACGTAGTCAGCCATAAACTTTCAACAGAGATAACTTTTAATAATCGTTAAAAACGTAAAGTCATTCATTTGTGCAAAAATCAAAAATTTAAACTAAATAGAAAAGGACAAAGGAGTTTTCAAAATAAAAGTAATAGATAAAAATTTATATGAGTATATTTGAATTATAAAGAAATGTTAAGAAATTTATAATGACGATATATACAAGAAAAGAGGCGCTATTGAATAATGTCAAATCAGTCAGCTCAATAACATGGCATAATTGTAGTATCAAGTAATGGTATACTACCAATAGTAATAGTGCTGAGGGAAGCACTATTGAATCTTATTGGCAACTAAGGACCATGTTATATAGAGTGTCATGGGCTCGTCAAATTTCTTTCTTTTGGGCTTTGACAAAAATGCATATTATGTAGCAAAATTGTATTAATTTGCTTCTAAAAGACACAAACAATGACAATGATACTGAATAAATTTGCTTTACCTAAGTGACGATGCACTGATTGCCTCGGCACTCATGATTCATGACCTAATTTTAACCGACATATTGTTTTTTCTCTCACTCTCAATTCTATAAATTGCATTGAAAACAACAATTTTGCTCATGTCGAGCCCATGACACTCTACATAATAAGATCTCAACAAACTCGACTACAAAGAGTAGAAGTGCTCAGTACGACTACAATTTTTATACTCATGTACCTAAATGGCATGGATAGGGACCCGCATATCTTGGATCACTTCAAAATCCTCTCTAAGTATAAGATATTCTCACTGAAAGTAAAACTAAACATCTCAAGTATTTAGAATACTAAAAGACCCTATATCAGATATATCTTTTTGACAATCAACTAGTTTTCAGATTACTCTTGGATCACTACAAAAATTTCATTGAGTATAGGAGATTCC